TTAAAGAATTCCTTGACTTCAACCAACTCTGTCAAGATTTGAAGAGCTTTATCTAGCCAAAGGAAGCAACAGTTGGTTAGTATAAATGCAGCAAGTTTAACAAACTATGAAGAATTAGTACTTTAAAATTAAAACTTTACAATCATTGACTTAAAGACAGTAACTTTTCTCAATCCTAAACAAATCTTAAAAATCTTCTCTCACAACTCCAACTAACAACTTACAGTTGAACAAACAAGACCACAATTGACAGACGAGACCATTGCGAACTGACAAATTATGAACTGTCACGTGGATTGTAAGTATAATATATCCTTTCTCAAATCAGTAAAACTCAAGTTAATGAGACCACAGGAAACAGAACAAAGTATAGAACATGAAGCTCAAGAACTAGTAGGCGTTAAGAGAAAAAACTTCATTCAACAAATTCAGAAATGAGATATACACATGTTAGAGAATGAACAACAATTTACCTCCCATAGTTTATATCTGGCTTGCAGCAACTGAATCAAATGGGATTTCAACCCTCTCCTTCACAATGCATCTAGCTTCGCCATTCTCAACCACAAAGACTTTCCCAGGTGGACATTGAACAACTGATTTCTTCTCTTCATTTGATGGCCGTTGAAAGATTCCCGAAAGCTTCAAAGGGATACCTTTCTTCCCAAGATTTTGAGCAAAACCGGACATGCTTAATGCATATACCAAACCAGCCAGGGGAATCACCGTCTTGGCCACCGAACTAATAAAGTGTCCCAACCCTTTCCTTGAAGTTGTGGATCTATTTGCATTGGTTTCTCTCATATCATTTAGATTCTTCTTCGCCCACTAGTTAGCTCATCCGTGATCACTCCATCAGCACAGACTTGGGTTTGTAATTAGATTGTGAGAGATAACCATTGCTTAAGATCAATGATCGAGGAACACGACTAGGATATGGAGGAAGGAGGAGATCATTGTTGTGCTCTACAGTTTCACCAGCAAAAGAGATGCTTCATGTATAACTTCCAAGTCCTCCCCTTTGTACTCCTTGAGCTTCTCTAGCAACATCTTGCGGCTAAACCATTTCACAAGTGCAACTTCCTATCATAACGCTGCTGGAGTGTAGATTCTAGCATCAAAGAGAAATTTTAATCATCAATCCACAAGTTTTTCAAACTTTTCTATTGCGTATGAAATATACAATATATATCTCTACATATTATATATATATATATATATATATATATAATATATAACATTTCACACGAGGACTAGATAGCGCTTTTACAGTTCAGATAAGCAAGGAACAAACATGGAAAACATAAATACATTGGTTGACCGAAAATTAAGATCCTACCAACAAAAGGAAAGGGCCATCAGCAGGAAAATTCTACTCAAAAGTGTAAGTTCTATTAATGCAAATGTGTGGCCGAGAAAGTAGGGAAACAGGCTAATACATAAGGTACTGGATAATTTCTGCAGAATCAGTGCACTAGTTGAGCAAACGGAAACATAAAAATCAGTGCTTTCCAAAATTTTAGTCATCAAACACGGTAAGAAGAATCAATTCATCATTAGCACTATTTAGGCATCTTTCCTTAGGACTGATTGGATGCATATACCTGGGCCACAGGTTGTTTGTCTGGGGTCATTCTTAGGAAATTTGTCCTCTTCTGGCTGGTAGTATCAATTAATCCAAAGTATTAGGTAATGTCAACATACATTAACAGTACAACAGTAACATGATATTCCAGTTATATCATATATAGAATTCCATTGAGATATTATAGTTGCTAAGGTAAATATGATCAAGTATCAACAAGTTTATCTCAAAATCCTTTAACATAGCAGGGAACATGTGAAATGCAGTTTACTATATTATTAAGATGGCATCTTGTATACTCTATAGATGAAGCCCACAAAACAATGACTGGTACATGGTATTCTAAACGCACTGAAACATGTATAAGTACCAACATATAGCTCCACTTTATCATTCTCTTCTTTATAGTTCCTACACACATATACACGTGACATATGTGGTTGAGCCCCACCTCGTATAATAAATATCACCAGAGCAAGAGCAAGCAGAGCACAAAATCATAAAGGAGTAGATGTGACATTAAACTATAATGAGAACTTCCATCATTTGCTTCCTTCTTAATCTTACAAAAACCAATGAATAAAGCATTCTCTTCTAAAAATACATCCACTTTCAATTTTCTATATATACAGCAAAAGAATTCAAATGCATATATAACATGTAATCAAATCCAGCTTAGACGGTGCAGTGTAATAAACGGCATTGCTTTTATAAATGATAAAAGAAGACACTGCCGGCATGACAAATGATCAACTGAAGGAATAAGAACTGGCCAGGAACACTTTCATAACCTTGAATTGAAACAAGTTAACTCTGATAACAATCCACAAAATCCTTTAATCTAGACAAGTCACATCTAGTAAAATTTAAGATACAAGTCTCAAGGAACCATATAAAGTAACATTGATAACGCATTATACGATTATTATTGCAATGTAATCCGAATGAAACCATGGTGAAATCTCCCAAGCCCAAAGAAACGCAAGCAGAAGAACAAATTTTGAAGCAAAGCCAATTTCAGTGTTTACCACAAATTTCCAATTATTTAAGCACACTGTTACAAGACTCGCATGGTTATAAAAAATTCCAAATTCATTCACCAGTATATGCTTCAAAATCAATTATTTAAACGAAATAGACCATAATTATAACTGTATAAGGCTTTCGACATAAAACCCTGACTTGGAGTTTCTTGACAAACCTGCAAATTACCAAGCTGAGCCTCCAAAGATTCAAGCGCAAGTTGAATATTCAAGAGCTTCTCTGCTTCTTCATCATAATCCTCTTCTTCTTCTTCAGCCACTTTCTCATCAGGGTTTTTCTTAACTCCATTAACAACAACAGCAACATCACCTTCTTGTTGTTTCCCTGTTGTTGCTTTGTGAATGCAATTACTGATCTTCAACCTAAGCTCCGCGGCCCTGGCTAAAACTAAGCCTATACCCTCTTCATCCATTGTGTTTCTTGATGTGTGTGCTCGGTGGGTTAAGGCTTTTGACGCCGAAAATATAATAAAAATGTGTTCTTGGGTTGGTCGACGAGGGTTTTGGAAGTGAACAGAGTCTGAGAAGAGCCAAAAACTGGCAGGTGTATAATTCTGGTGAGTGTTTTAAGTGACCCCCATGCTTCTCACCAGATATTTTCATTTTGGTTTCACTTAATTAATTTTTTCTTTAATTAAATTTAGATTATGTGGATCCCAAGATAATCTATGACTATCCAATGGGCAATGGCTCTAGCTGTATGCATGTGACCAGGGGCTTTCTGGTCTTGTTATTTTATTTTCTGTTTTGGATATAAAATGAAGAAATTTCTGGACTTGGTTTCTAGTGGGGACTCTGTTTTGGTCTTTGGCTTCTTTGTAGGGACTGCTTTTTGACATTGCATCTGCTGAATCTCTAAAAAGAGATAATGCATGAATAATCTTGGTCCACTCGACTGCATACTTTTCATTTTGGTTCCACTTACAATACCATTAGGAGGTCTAAAGCTTATAAATTGATCCAAACTCTGCTAATGTGATGAAAAATGCTACGTTTACAAGCCAATCTCATAACCTTCTCTTACAACCCTAACGTGACAATAGATGTGCATTATCTCATTCCTTCAAAAGGAACGACATTCATTCATAACGAATAGTTGTTCCTTGACGAAGGAACAATCTTTTTTTTTAATAAGGTATGATCATACCTTATTGAAGGAATGACCATACCTTAAGAAATCTTCATAAGGTATGACCATTCCTTAAAGTGGTATAGCCATTCCTTATGAAAGAATGATTATACCTTTGTTAAGGAACGACCATTCCTTGGAATGGCTATATCCGTTAGGAAGGAATGGTCATTCCTTCAATAAGGAACTGTCGTTCCCTATGAAAAAACAGTCTTTTATTAAGTCTAGTCAAAATCATTTTATGTCTTGGGTGTGATTGAAGTTGACGTGAAAATGCCAACTCAGTTGCCACGTCAGGGTTGTGAGAGAAGTTCATAAGAATAGGTTAACAGTCATTCCTTTAATAAGGAACATTCATTCCTTATGAAGGAATGACTGTTTCTTAAGTCTAGTCAAAATCACATTGTGCCTTGTGTAATGAATCTCAAATCGAAACCGTATTTGGGAGGTCCTGAGCTTATAAATTGGGGAATTCCCTCCACCTAATAGGTTAGCCTTTTGGGTGTGAAACTCCCAGCCCGTAACAAGTGTTATCAGAGCAGACCCGATTCCTCTTTCGATGTCTCGTCAAGCGCCCCTGCGGGGGCATCCACATGTGATTGTGGGTTCACACAAGAGTGAGGTGGACGGGTAGGCAAGGGGCCCCACCTGTGACGAGGGTGTCCCAGGATTGGGTGGGAGAGAATGTAACGAATCTCACATCGAAAGCGTATTGGGGATGTCCTAGGCTTATAAATGAGGGGAGTCCCTCCACCTAATAGGTTAGCCTTTTGGATGTGAAACTCTCAGCCCGTGACACTTGGGTGTGGATGAAATTGACGTGATAGTGGTAACTCAATTGTCAAGTCTGAGTTGTAAGAGAAGTTTGTGAGAATAGGTTGTAAACGTAACATTACTCTAATGTGATAGGTTTTACTTTATTTTTACACCATTTTAGGTAGGTAGAAGCCGGTTTATGTGTTTTTTTTTTTTTTTTCAAACCACATGAAGCTTGAGGCTGTCACACTTTTATCTATCTACTTTTAAGCACTTTCAATTCAAGTTGTTGCACCAAAAAAAAGGCTGAAAAGGATATGCTTCACACAACAAAAAAAAAAAATCATGAAACTTGTACAAAGTACAGACTTCTTACAGCCATAAGCCATTTTGATATTCATCTCTCCCCCTTATCTCATTTAACAAATTTGTACATAAAGAACTCAAGCAATTTGAAAATGACAGCCGAATCGCAACCATGCTATTATGGAAAAAAACTCCTGAATCAAACAAGCTCAGCCCTCAGCTAAAGCCTGATGTAACAAGAAGTTTAGTTGTGATTCTTCTGTCATTCTAATCTACCAAGCTAGCAAACTAGTGAAATGTAAAGATAATTCTTGTAGTAGAGGAGGTTCTCGGCCGCTGGCTGCGGAGGTGTTTTGCTATGCCAGTTCTTTTGATAGCAGAAAACGGAATGTGAAGTTGTGGGGTATCCACTCAATGATCTTTCCAGTTTTCTTGTGTTGAGATAGTTGAATGTTCTTCCTGAAAGAATCTGGCATGGAATGCTTAATCATCTCAAGCAAACCAGCTGAGCACATATCTGAATCCTTTGCAAAAGATTCTACCATCTTTGGCAAAAGAACTTTCTGCTCCTTGTTTATGCTGAAGTTTGATTGAATGTACTCTTCTTTTGCTGTTTCCAGGTCCTGGAAAACTCTCTTGGGTGTGTATACATGGACCTGGAGAACCATTTAACATGTCAAAAAATGTTGTGGATTTAACAAGGGAGACATTTGAAATATATAAATGAAGGGTGGGAGCATATATACCACAGGATCAGAATAACTTCCTGAACAAAGTGCAAAATGCAAACGAGGTTCAGGGTGCTCAATTGCATAAGCTTTTCGTGCATCTCCAACCTTAAATTTTGCCTTGGAAGAAAATAGAAAACGCAGCCACTGCAAGCAGAATTAACCAAAGGAGTCAGATGATGATGTCTCACAAACAAGCAGTATTTGATAAATCTTTTAAGGGAATTACTTGTCCTGGACGTGGGATTCGGCATCCCAGAATAGAACTTTGAATCATTTCTACATTTATGGTTTGGCCTCCCACTTTATATGCAGCCTGCATCGGCCATAGATTTTGTGAATAGAAAATCACAAGCCAGCTTCTTGTCTAAAGTAACCAGAGAAAAGCTCACCTTGAGTAGTAAAGATACTTTTTTCAGATTATTTTTGGGAATTCCATAAACCAAAAATGCCTGCAAGACAAAGGATTAGCAAATGAGTTGCACTAGTTAATTGCCTCACAATGAGAAAATTATATTCATAGCTTTAGAATTAGAGAAATTACATGCATCACCAGAGCATTGTGCACATTGATCCAGAAAGCTAGCTTCTCCTCATGTTTCATCCTTCTTGGATCAACTTTTTCCAAACGATAAACAAGTGACCTGCAATTGAATAGCTGTTACAATAACCTTAATGTATAAAAAAAAAAATATGCAATTGGGATTGAGGATTTCATGAGATTAAAAGACTCGCCTATAATACTGCAGCTTATGTTCAATTTCTTTTAATTTTTTATCATCTCTACAAATCCTTTCAACCTTTGCCATTGTGGAGTAAGGTCCACTGAATTCCTTGGATTCCCTAATGCTAAAAGGGTTATCAAAGTGTGAATTGAAGGAAGAAAACCTCCCACACTGTGGACTCCAAATATCGCCCTGACCTCGTGAAGAAAACATATTCAGTGATGATGAGTATGAAATAGGAGAGAATGAGCACTCATGATTCATCAAAGGTGGGTCTGCAAGTTCACAATACATATCTGAAATGCACTTTATCATCTCCTCAGATATCCAGTTTGGTGTATCTGGAACATAATCAGAAACACTTGTCCCAAAATGCTCCGCCAAGCTGATTCCATTCGGAGCATCAGCCTGAGCTTGCTGAAGATTAAAAAAAAAAAAAAAAAAAAATGGATCACATATTAGAGATGCCATTTACCCGAACTATCAAATATAAATCAAACATCAGGTAATTGTTTTCATGGTGAGTTATCAAGTTACCTCCAACATTGACAAAGGTAGGGAATGGTACGAGTCTACAGCTTTAGCTAAAGATTTTAATGGAGGGGAAGTTCTAATTGAACAAGCTGAACGTTGAGACAGTGATGAGTGGCTCCGATGAATGCCAGAATCTAAAAGTTTCTGTGCTCCCCAAATGCCATTGCCTTCCTTTGGAGGATTGCAAAATGAATTTTCATAAGGCTTTAGATTACTAGTTTGAACAACAGAATTCTCTTTTTCTGAAGTAATATCACTTCGACAAAATTCTGAAAACATCCCCTCATCAGTTGATGTAGCTAGATTTAATCTTTCATCCATGGTCGGTAAAGAGGATACTCTTTGATCAAACTTTTTCCGGTATAGAGAAAGAAGATAATGTTCTAAATACACAACTTCCATTTCCAAAACTGCTATATCCCTGATCAGTTCCTTGGCATCCTGAAACAAAGAAAAGGGATTTGACAAATAGAAAATAAAAGAAAATCTTCTGGGTGATAATGTGACATATCAGTTTTGACAATATTAAATGCTTTGGTTTCAATTTTTCCCAGTGAGAAGGAGCTAATTACAATCCAATTCAAAGGAGTTACCTTGGGGATTGATTTGTCTGTCACAGTATCATGGGAAAATGGCCTATAACTTAATGCCTTCTGCAATGCATGTCGTACCACAAATTCCTGATTTAATCTTTCTTGAAGCTGTACAATCTGCGAAAGGCAGCTAGGCATATTTCAGAATACAGAATGGAAGTGCTAAGCAATGCTTCACTTTTCTAAATCTACTCTTCCTTTGCATGAATTTATATATTTTTCATATGCATCCACGTTTTGAAGTTGATCAGAAACAGCCAAGCCTCTTAAAGAGCTCCCAGTTTAACAGAGATAAGAAACAAAATATGTTTTAAAGAACTACAGAAATATGTTGTCTTAAAACACCATTTTCGCAGAACTTCATGTGGTTTGGTAGTTATTTGCTCAATGACAAGCGACAACTCAGACAAAGAGATGTATCATGAATATATATACCTCTTGCTTTAATGAATTTTGGACTTCGGCATTAGGTGGTTGCCTCTTCTTGGCTTCAACAGAGTGCTTATGCTGTCCCATTTCCTTCTGTGACAGAAGACAAAAAGAAAAATTGAGATTCCTCTTATCTCGAATCAGATGTTTAATTTCTTAATGCATTATTGCTGAGAAAGAAATAGCAATTATGCATGATGCTCCATTATGTTCAAGAACTAGCCAAACGGAAGAAGAAAACTGAAATTCCTACCAGCTTAAGGTGGTAAGATGCTTCAAGGGTGTTATTCAATTTATCATCCCCATATTTTCTTTTAAGTGGATCACTGTCAATGAAGCAAAGCAAAATCAGGTCAGTATGAAACACAGCAAAAAGAACCTTAGAAACTTAATATATGTTATCTGAGTTCATTTACTAAAACACACGATGCAGCCACTTGCCAGAAGAGTCAGCTGGTCTTCAGTACTGGTTCATTAGTGAATATATAGAAGAGAAAAGGAGAAGAAGAGAGCTAGCATGGGAGTAAAAAAAAGATATATTATCACCACAACTAAAGCACAATAGCTTTTTCAGAGCTTCATTTAGAAAAAGTTTCAGATAAAAGTGATGAGTTGAATCATATTAAACAAGAGAAACCAAAGAGGCATACTATCTAACAGCTAATGGGACCACTTTGTGCAATACCTGTTAGACCGCTTGTGTCTTGAAATTTTTATTGTTTCCATGAAGTTCAATGGCTTTAAACCAGAGCCACCCCGCCAATATATTTTCTGCATAGTAGCACCAAAGTAAGGTTTAGACCCCACAGTGAAAATATGACTGGAACAGCATTAAATGCAGCAAATACCACCATCAGATATTGACAAAGTTCTTAAACCAAGATAAAAAAACACCACCAAAGAAACATCCAAAATCATTAATTGTTAAAGAATAATCTCTGCCTATATGATACATACACAAATTATGCTGATCAGAGTGAGACTACTCACACTGAATAGTTTTTTGAAAAGTAGAACCAAGCTAGTGGTTCAAAGATCAATTCAACTCTTTGTTAAATCTAACCAAGACTAAGAAAAACCAACCCATATAAATATGTAATATAAGACCAAACACAAATACAAATAAAACTGTCCCTCTGATACCATATTGAAATTTAACACAATAAGAACAGTGTTGTATAATGTATATGGATAGTGCGTAGTGCTTAAAAGGGTGTCAATTTGTTTGACCAGAAGGGTTTGTCTTAGAAAGCAATGTCACCTTTGAAGCTTTTGTAAAAATGGTGGGCTTTTTGCATTGCATTAAAAGAAGTAAATCTCAGTTGGTGAGTGGGTTTTGATAGAAGATGATGCTAGCTTAAAAGTGGAAAATCAGGGGATTTTAAAAGAAGAAAGGGACAAGAGACAAGGAGGTGACTATGGCAAATGGCAAATGACAATTGACAAATATATATATAAGCAATAGGAATCCATGCTACTTGCTTCTACTTGAAACTGTTCACTCCACAATTTTTTTTTTTTTTAGGTATCTGGACCAGCTTGCACGCATCTGAACTAATCCTCCAGAATCTTGAAGTTAACCGTTAGGTAAGTCTCCAGTGGCTACGCCTTATTAATAATCATGGAAATTCAAATCTAAAACATCTTGAATAATACATCCATAAGTCTTAAACGAACCGTCAAACTACGAAAGCTAGTTGACCGTACATTTGGTGCTTATGCTTGTAACTATCAATTCATAAATATGAAAATAACAACTGTAATTGGGCCCATCTTTGTTTCCTCCAATACATCAATTAGTTTATTAATTTACTTTACTGGTTAATCTCTGCACATGAACCGTTATTTACCGAACTCAAATATTGAGTTCCATCACCATGCATGAAAGACCTTGTCCTGATCCATGCGGAAGCATTTCAATTTGTGTTCTACTTTTTAGCTTGCTTTCCATGTATGCTTGCAATTTAATAACGTAATAAAATTTTGGGATAACGGAGTCTTTTGTAACATAGAGTAAACGACTTTTTCCCCACCCAAGATTTGACTTAATGACACTTTTCCACCCAAAAAATAAAGTTTATATTCTAACCAATCATTGGTCGATTTTGGTATCATTATGACCCCACACGATCACCATTCTCTTCCTCGATCATCATTGACCAAAACTCTCAGGTTCTGTGGAACGCATCGACCTTGCCAATTGCTAGAAATCGAGCGATTTGTGGAACGCACAACCACCCCTCTGAAGTTAGGTTCTAACCAATCTCGACCACCAAAATCCAACATTTTACCACCAAAAGACACATTGACATCCCGTCTTCAAAAGCCCTAACAGTCTGGACCAATTTTACTCTCTGTTCGCCACTAAATCGGAAAGTATATTCTAGGTAATAAACGGAATATAAACTTTGGATAGTAAATTAGTATTTTGAAACTTTTTGGATATAAAAGTGTCATTAAGGCAAACCTTGGGTGGGAAAAAGTCGTTTACTCTTGTAACATACTATTCCGATAGTGAATGAAAGAGTTTGTGTTAATTTGTAGAACGCATACCCATCCCTCCCAAGTCAGGTTCTAACCAATCTCGATCACCAAAATCCAATTTTTCACCACTAAAAGACTCACTGGTATCCTCTCTTCAAAAGTCCTAATGTCTAAACCAATTTTGCTCTCCGTTTGTCATTGAATCAGAAAGTGTATTCTGGGTAATAAACGAGATATGTTATAGGTGATAGACGTAAGACGCTTATGTAATGTAGAAAATATCGAATTAATTAAAACAGACATATCACTATTCATTTATATCGTACTCTTATACTTGATGTTAGAATAATCTTACTATTTAATGGGTGATGTGTGGATCTCACTAGAATTCAAGGTTCATAAAGTATAGAATTTGTCATATATGGCGTGAAAATATTACCATGCAAAAAAAGTGGTACAAAATGATGAATCATGGATTAGTTGATAACTTAATTAATTCAATAATCAATAATAATAATAATAATAATAATAATAATAAAATCATCAGCGGTATTCATGGTAGCTAGCTAGCTGCAACTCAACACACAGAAAGAAAGAATAAAAAATAAGAAGAAAACAGTGATGGAGAATTGTGGTGGCTACGCTAGGGGGTCTATTACACACAAAAAGGAGAGGCAAATAGCACTTGAAAAAGGGAAGGAAAACCTCAAAAGGGCTGAAAGGCGAAGAAAATTAAAAACACATACAAAACAATGCACGTTTGATATGAAATGACTGGTTTTGGTGGGCTTTCATTCAATATTCTCTTTCAGTAATTGCATTATCTTCCTCTATATTAGGTCCCCTTTTTGTCTCTCTCATCGGTCAAAAACTTAATAAAGTTTCTTGCCTTTTGTTTTTTTGGGATAAGGTGCTGCTGCAAAGGAGATTTTTGTTTCATGAAAAACATTAGTGTAATGTTTACTCATAGCTGTTTACACCGTTCTGCTTTATGGAGTGAGCTAATTCAAAATCTGAGTTAATTTGTAACGTTAATTTATCTGTAAACAGGCCAGGGGTTGGAAAATATTTGATGAACGTTGAAAAAGCTATATGTATAGCAGCAGCAGCTCGAAAATCTGAGAAATCCCTTTTGCTGCAGATGGTTGAAAAGTGAGAAAAGGAGTTCAAACTTCAAACTAAAGCTTGGTTGAACACGGGTTTCAATTAATTAAAAGTTGCCATCACATCCATCCATGATCCATCGATCCATCTTTGGCCAGTTTACAATATAACATGAACAATTGGAAGCTAGCTCCCTCATGCTGCCTGTCACTACTGCATCTGCATGCAGGCACTTAGCTTAACTCAAAGTTTCAAATCCGTGAAAGTTTGCTGTCGTTTATATGGGATCATATCTTTCATATAGCTGTTCATGTTTATAATTATGAACCTTAAATGGAAGATCACATTTCTTTGCTGGTTTCTGGTAATCGCTGAAGGAATAAGAACTGGCCAGGGACACTTTCATAACCTTGAATTGAAACAAGTTAACTCTGATAACAACCACAAAATCCTTTAATCTAGACAAGTCACATCTAGTAATTTAAGATACAAGTCTCAGGAACCATATAAAGTAACATTGATAACGCATTATACGATTATTATTGCATGTAATCCTATGAAACCATGGTGAAATCTCCCAAGCCCAAGAAAACGCAAGCAGAAGAACAAATTTTGAAGCAAAGCCAATTTCAGTGTTTCCACAATTTCATTATTTAAGCACACTGTTACAACTCGCATGGTTATAAAAAATTCCAATTCATTCACCAGTATATGCTTCAAAATCAATTATTTAACGAAATAGACCATAATTATAACTGTATAAGGCTTTCGACATAAAACCCTGACTTGGAGTTTCTTGACAAACCTGCAAATTACAAGCTGAGCCTCCAAAGATTCAGCGCAATTTGAATATTCAAGACTTCTCTGCTTCTTCATCATAACCTCTTCTTCTTCTTCAGCCACTTTCTCATCAGGGTTTTTCTTCACTCCATTAACAACACAGCAACATCACCTTCTGTTTGTTTCCCTGTTTTTGCTTTGTGAATGCATTACTGATCTTCAACCTAAGCTCCGCGGCCCTGGCTAAAACTAAGCCTATACCCTCTTCATCCATTGTGTTCTTGATGTGTGTGCTCGGTGGGTTAAGGCTTTTGACGCGAAAATAATAAAAATGTGTCTTGGGTTGGTCGCGACGAGGTTTTGGAGTGAACAAGTCTGAGAAGAGCCAAAAACTGGCAGGTGTATAATTCTGGTGAGTGTTTTAAGTGACCCCATGCTTCCCACCAATATTTTCATTTTGGTTTCACTTAATTAATTTTTTCTTTAATTAAATTTAGATTTGTGATCCCAAGATAATCTATGACTATCCAATGGGCAATGCTCTAGCTGTATGCATTGACCAGGGGCTTTCTGTCTTGTTATTTTATTTTCTGTTTTGGTTAAATGAAGAAATTTTCTGACTTGTTTCTAGTGGGGACTCTGTTTTGGTCTTGGCTTCTTTGTAGGGACTGCTTTTTGACATTGCATCTGCTGAATCTCAAAAAGAGAAATGCATGAATAATCTTGGTCCACTCGACTGCATACTTTTCATTTTGGTTCCACTTACAATACCATTGGAGGTCAAAGCTTATATTGATCCAAACTCTCTAATGTGATGAAAATGCTACGTTTTAAAGCCAATCTCGTAACCTTCTCTTACACCCTAACGTGACAATAGATGTGCATTATCTCATTCCTTCAAAGGAACGACATTTCATTCATAACGAATAGTTGTTCCTTGAGAAGGCACATCTTTTTTTTTAATAAGGTATGACTACCTTTTGAAGGAATGACCATACTTAAGAATTCTTCATAAGGTATGACCATTCCTTAAAGGGGTATACCTTCCTTATGAAAGAATATTATACTTTGTTAAGGAACGACCATTCTTTGAATGGCTATATCCTTTAGGAAGGAATGGTCATTCCTTCAATAAGGAACTGTCGTTCCCTATAAAACAGTCTTTTATAATCAGTCAAAATCATTTTATGTTTTGGTGGTATTGAAGGTACGTGAAAATGCCAACTCAGTTGCCACGTCGGGTTGTGAGAGAAGTTCTAAGAATAGGTTAACAGTCATTCCTTTAATAAGGAACTTCTTCTTATAAGGATGATGTTTCTAAGTCTAGTCAAAACACATTGTGCCTTGTGTAATGAATCTCAAATCGAACGTATTTGGGAGGTCCTGATCTTATAATTGGGGATTCCCTCCACCTAATGTTAGCCTTTTGGGTGTGAAACTCCCACCCGTAACAGTGTGTATCAGAGCAACCCATTCCTCTTTCGATGTCTCGTCAAGCGCCCCTGCGGGGGCATCCACATGTGATTGTGGTTCCACCAAGAGTGAGGTGGACGGGTAGGCAAGGGCCCCACCTGTGACGAGGGGTCCCGGATGGGTGGGGAGAGAATGTAACAATCTCACATCGAAAGCGTATGGGATGTCCTAGGCTTATAAATGAGGGGAGTCCCTCACTAATAGGTTAGCCTTTTGATGTGAAACTCTCAGCCCGTGACACTTTGTGGATGAATTGACGTATAGTGGTAACTCAATTGTCACGTCTGAGTTGTAGAGAAGTTTGTGAGAATAGGTTGTAAACGTACCATTACTCTAATGTGATAGGTTTTACTTTATTTTTACACCATTTTAGGTAGGTAGAAGCCGTTTTTTATTGTTTTTTTTTTTTTTTTTTTCAAACCACATGAAGCTGAGGCTGTCACACTTTTATCTATCTACTTTTAAGCACTTTACTTCAAGTTGTTGCACCAAAAAAAGCTGAAAAGGATATGCTTCACACAACAAAAAAAAAATCATGAAACTTGTACAAGTACGACTCTTACAGCCATAACCATTTTGATATTCATCTCTCCCCCTTATCTCAATACAATTTTGTACATAAAGAACTCAAGCAATTTGAAAATGACCGCCGAATCACAACCATGCTATTATCAAAAAAACCTCTTGAATCAAACAAGCTCGCCCTCAGCTAAAGCCTGATGTAACAAGAAGTTTATTTGTGATTCTTCTGTCATTCTAATCTACCAAGCTAGCAAACTAGAAATGTAAAGAAATTCTTGTATGAGGAGGTTCTCGCCGCTGGCCGCGGAGGTGTTTGCTATGCCATTTCTTTTGATAGCAGAAAACGGAATGTGAAGTTGTGGGTATCCACTCAATGATCTTTCCAGTTTCTTGTGTTTGAGATAGTTGAATGTTCTTCCTGAAAGAATCTGGCATGGAATGGTCAATCATCTTAAGCAAACCACTGAGCACATATCTGAATCCTTTGCAAAAGATTCTACCATCTTTGGCAAAAGAACTTTCTGCTCCTTGTTTTGCTGAAGTTTGATTGAATGTACTCTTTTTGCTGTTTCCAGGTCCTGGAAAACTCTCTGGGTGTATACATGGACCTGGAGAACCATTTACATGTCAAAAAATGTTGTGGATTTAACAAGGGAGACATTTGAAATATATAAATGAAGGGTGGAGCATATATACCACAGGATCAGAATAACTTCCTGAACAAAGTGCAAAATGCAAACGAGGTTCAGGGTGCTCAATTGCATAAGCTTTTCGTGCATCTCCAACCTTAAATTTTGCCTTGGAAGAAAATAGAAAACGCAGCCACTGCACAGAATTAACCAAAGGATCAGATGATATGTCTCCACAACAAGCAGTATTTGATAACTTTTAAGGGAATTACTTGTCCTGGACGTGGGATCGGCATCCCAGAATAGAACTTTGAATCATTTCTACATTTATGGTTTGGCCTCCCACTTTATATGCGCTGCATCGCCATAGATTTGTGAATAGAAAATCACAGCCAGCTTCTTGTCTAAAGTAACCAAGAAAAGCTCACCTTGAGTAGTAAAGATACTCTTTTCAGATTATTTTTGGGAATTCCATAAACCAAAAATGCCTGCAAGACAAAGGATTAGCAAATGAGTTGCACTAGTTAATTGCCTCACAATGAGAAAATTATATTCATACTTTAGAATTAGAGAAATTACTGCATCACCAGAGCATTGTGCACTTGATCCAGAAAGCTAGCTTCTCCTCATGTTTCATCCTTCTTGGATCAACTTTTCCAAACGATAAACAAGTGACCTGCATTGATAGCTGTTACAATAACCTTAATGTATAAAAAAATATGCAATTGGATTGAGGATTTCATAAAATTAAAGACTCGCCTATAATACTGCAGCTTATGTTCAATTTCTTTAATTTTTTATCATCTCTACATCCTTTCAACCTTTGCCATTGTGGAGTCGGTCCACTGAATTCCTTGGATTCCCTAATGCTAAAAGGTTATCAAAGTGTGATTGAAGGAAGAAAACCTCCCACACTGTGGACCCAAATATCGCCCGACCTCGTGAAGAAAACAATTCAGTGGATGAGTATGAAATAGGAGAGAATGAGCACTCATGATTCATCAGGTGGGTCTGCAAGTTCACAATATATATCTGAAATGCACTTTATCATCTCCTCAGATATCCAGTTTGGTGTATCTGGAACATAATCAGAAACACTTGTCCCAAAATGCTCCGCCAAGCTGATTCCATTTGGAGCATCAGCCTGAGCTTGCTGAATTATAAAAAAAAAAAAAAAAAAATGGATCACATATAGAGATGCCATTTACCCGAACTATCAAATATAAATCAACATCAGGTAATTGTTTTCATGGTGAGTTATCATTTACCTCCAACATGACAAAGGTAGGGAATGGACATCTACAGCTTTGCTAAAGATTTTAATGGAGGGGTAGTTCTAATTGAACAAGCTGAACGTTGAACAGTGTGAGTGGCTCCGATGAATGCCAGATCTAAAAGTTTCTGTGCTCCCCAAATCATTGCCTTCCTTTGGAGGATTGCAAAATGAATTCATAAGGCTTTGATTACTATTTTGAACAACAAATTCTCTTTTCTGAAGTAATATCACTTCGACAAAATTCTGAAAACATCCCCTCATCAGTTGATGTAGCTAGTTTTAATCTTTCATCCATGGCGGTAAAGAGGAACTCTTTGACAAATTTTTTCCGGTATAGAGAAAGAGATACTGTTCAATACACAACTTCCTTTCCAAAACTGCTATATCCCTGATCAGTTCCTTGGCATCCTGAACAAAGAAAAGGGATTTGACAAATAGAAAATGAAAGAAAATCTCTGGGTATAATGTGACATATAAGTTTTGACAATATAAATGCTTTGGTTTCAATTTTTCCCAGTGAGAAGGGCTAATTACAATCCAATTCAAAGGAGTTACCTTGGGGATTGATTTGTCTGTCACAGTATCATGGGAAAATGGCCTATAACTTAATGCCTTCGCAATGCATGTCGTACCACACTCCTGATTTAATCTTTCTTGAACTGTACAATCTGCGAAAGGCAGCTAGGCATATTTCAGAATACAGAATGGAAGTGCTAAGCAATGCTTCACTTTTCTAAATCTGCTCTTCCTTTGCATGAATTTTTATTTTTCATATGCATCCACGTTTTGAAGTTGATCAAAACCAGCAAGCCTCTTAAAGAGCTCCTTTTTAACAAGATAATAATAAACACCATTTTCGCAGAACTTCATGTGGTTTTTTATTTGCTTAATGACAAGCGACAACTCAGCAAAGAGATGTATCATGAATATATATCCTCTGTGCTTTAATGAATTTGACTTCGGCATTAGGTGGTTGCCTCTTCTTGGCTTCAACAGAGTGCTTATGCAGTCCCATTTCCTTCTGTGACAGAAGACAAAAAGAAAAACTGAGATTCCTCTTATCTCGAATCAGATGTTAATTTCTTAATGCATTATTTCTGAATAAATAGCAATTAAAGATGCTCCATTATGTTCAAGAACAGCCAAACGGAAGAAGAAAACTGAAATTCCTACCAGCTTAAGGTGTAAGATGCTTCAAGGGTGTTATTCAATGTGTCATCCCCATATTTCTTTTAAGTGGATCACTGTCAATGAAGCAAAGCAAATCAGGTCAGTAGAAACACAGCAAAAAGAACTTAGAAACTTAATATGTTTATCTGAGTTCGTTTACTAAAACACACGATGCAGCCACTTGCCAGAAGAGTCAGCTGGTCTTCAGTACTGGTTCATTAGTGAATAATGAAGAAAAGGAGAAGAAAGAGCTAGCATGGGAGTAAAAAAAAAGATATATCATCACCACAACTAAGCACAATAGCTTTTTCAGAGCTTCATTCAGAAAAAGTTTCAGATAAAAGTGATGAGTTGAATCATATTAAACAAGAGAAACCAAAGAGGCATACTATCTAACAGCTAATGGGACTACTTTGTGCAATCCCTGTAGACCGCTTGTGTCTGAATTTTTATTGTTTCCATGAGTTCAATGGCTTTAACCAGAGCCACCCCGCCAATATATTTCCTGCATATAGCACCAAAGAGGTTTAGACCCCACAGTGACAATATGACTGGAACAGCATTAAATGCAGCAAATCCCACCACAGATATTGACAAAGTTCTGGACCAAGATAAAACACAACACCAAAGAAACATCCAAAATCATTAATTGTTAAAGAATAATCTCTGCCTATATGATACATACACAAATTATGCTGATCATGAGACTACTCACACTGAATAGTTTTTTGAAAAGTAAACCAAGCTAGTGGTTCAGATCAATTCACTCTTTGTTAATCTAACCAACTAAGAAAAACCAACCCATATAAATATGTAATATAAGACCAAACACAAATTCAAATAAACTGTCCCTCTGATACCATATTGAAATTTAACACAATAAGAACAGTGTTGTTAATGATATGGATAGTGCGTAGTGCTTAAAAGGGTTTCAATTTGTTTGACCAGAAGGGTTTGTCTTAGAAAGCAATGTCACCTTTGAAGCTTTTGTAAAAATGGTGGGCTTTTTGCATGCTTAAAAGAAGTAAATCTCAGTTGGTGAGGTGTTTGTAGAAGATGATGCTCTTAAAAGTGGAAAATCAGGGGATTTCAAAAGAAGAAAGGGACAAGAGACAAGGAGGTGACTATGGCAATGGCAAATGACAATTGACAAATATATATAGTACTATAGTATGTCTGATCTGATGCCATAGTTTTGGATTTATCTGAGGAAAAAAAAAAAAAAAACGCTACCCGAATAAAATACTTAAAGAATTCCTTGACTTCTCAACAACTTCGTGTCAAGATTTGAAGAGCTTTATCATAGCCAAAGGAAGCAACAGTATGGTTTAGTATAAATGCAGCAATTTGCTAACAAACTATTGAAGAATTAGTACTTTAAAATTTAAAACTTTACAATCATTGACCTTCAAAGACAGTAACATTTTCTCAATCCCTACAACTCAATCTTACAAATCTTCTCTCACAACTCCAACTTAACAACTTACAGTTGAACAACAAGACCTACAATTAGACAGACGAGACCCATTGCGAACTGACAAATTATGAACTGTCACGTGGATTGTAAGTATAATATTATCCTTTCTCAAATCAGTAAAACTCGAAGTTAATGAGACCAACAGAAAACAGAATCAAAGGTATAGAACTATGAAGCTCAAGAACATAGTAGGCCGTTAAGAGAAAAAACTTCATTCACCAAATTCAGAAATGAGATATACACATGTTAGAGAATGAACAACAATTTAGCCACTCCCATAGTTTATATCTGGCTTTGCAGCAACTGAATCAAATGGGATTTCAACCCTCTCCTTCACAATGCATCTAGCTTCGCCATTCTCAACCACAAAGACTTTCCCAGGTGGACATTGAACAACTGATTTCTTCTCTTCATTTGATGGCCGTTGAAAGATGCCCGAAAGCTTCAAAGGGATACCTTTCTTCCCAAGATTTTGAGCAAAACCGGACATGCTTAATGCATATACCAAACCAGCCAGGGGAATCACCGTCTTGGCCACCGAACTAATAAAGTGTCCCAACCCTTTCCTTGAAGTTGTGGATCTATTTTGCATTTGGTTTCTCTCATATTCATTTAGATTCTTCTTCGCTCCACTAGTTAGCTCATCCGTGATCACTCCATTCAGCACAGACTTGGGTTTGTAATTAGATTGTGAGAGATAACCATTGTCTAAGATCAATGATCGAGGAACACGACTAGGATATGGAGGAAGGAGGAGATCATTGTTGTGCTCTACAGTTTCACCAGCAAAAGCAGATGCTTCATGTATAACTTCCAAGTCCTCCCCTTTGTACTCCTTGAGCTTCTCTAGCAACATCTTGCGGCTAAACTCGATTTCACCAAGTGCAACTTCCCTATCATAACGCTGCTGGAGTTGTAGATTCTATGCATCAAAAGAGAAATTTTAATCATCAATCCACAAGTTTTTCAAACTTTTCTATTGCGTATGAAATTATACAAATTATATAATCTCTACATATGTATATAATATTAGATATAACATTTCACACGAGGACTAGATAGCAGCTTTTACAGCTTCAGATAAGCAAGGGAACAAAAATGGAAAACATAAATACATTGGTTGACCGAAAATTAAGATCCTACCAACAAAAGGAAAGGGCCATCAGCAGGAAAATTCTACTCAAAAGGTTGTAAGTTCTATTAATGCAAATGTGCTGGCCGTTAGAAAGTAGGGAAACAGGCTAATACATAAGGTAATGGATAATTTCTGCAGAATCAGTGCACTAGTTGAGCAAACGGAAACATAAAAATCAGTGCTTTCCAAAATTTTAGTCATCAAACACGGTAAGAAGAATCAATTCATCATTAGCACTTATTTAGGCATCTTTCCTTAGTGACTGATCTGGATGCATATACCTGGGCCACAGGTTAGTTTGTCCTGGGGTCATTCTTAGGAAATTTGTCCTCTTTCCTGGCTGGTAGTATCAATTAATCCAAAGTATTAGGTAATGTCAACATACATTAACAGTCACAACAGTAACATGATTATTCCAGTTAATATCAATATAAGAATTCCATTGAGATAAATTATAGTTGCTAAGGTAAATTATCAGAGTCCAAGTTTATCTCAAATATCAGCCCAAGTTTATCTCAAAATCCTTTTAACATAGCAGGGAAACCATGTGTAAATGCAGTTTACTATATTATTAAGATGGCATCTTGTATACTCTATAGGATGAAGCCCACAAAACAATGACTGGTACATGGTATTCTAAACGCACTGAAACATGTATAGGTACCAACATATAGCTCCACTTTATCATTCTCTTCTTTATAGTTCCTACACACATATACCCACGTGACATATGTGGTTGAGCCCCACCTCGTACATACTGAAATATCACCCAGAGCAAGAGCAAGCAGAGCACAAAATCATAAAGGAGTAGATGTGACATTAAATCTATAATGAGAACTTCCATCATTTGCTTCCTTCTTAATCTTACAAAAACCAATGAATAAAAGCATTCTCTTCTAAAAAATACATCCACTTGCAATTTTCTATATGATACAAGCAACAGAATTCAAATGCATATATAACATGCTAATCAAAATCCATGTTAGACGGTGCAGTGTAATAAACGGCATTGCTTTTATAAATGATAAAAGAAGACACTGCCGGCATGACAAATGATCAACTGAAGGAATAAGAACTGGCCAGGAACACTTTCATAACCTTGAATTGAAACAAGTTAACTCTGGTAACAATCCACAAAATCCTTCAATCTAGACAAGTCACATCTAGTAAAATTTAAGATACAAGTCTCAAGGAACCATATAAAGTAACATTGATAACACATTATACGATTATTATTGCAATGTAATCCGAATGAAACCATGGTGAAATCTCCCAAGCCCAAAAGAAACGCAAGCACAAGAACAAATTTTGAAGCAAAGCCAATTTCAGTGTTTACCACAAATTTCCAATTATTTAAGCACACTGTTACAAGACTCGCATGGTTATAAAAAATTCCAAATTCATTCATCAGTATATGCTTCAAAATCAATTATTTAAACGAAATAGACCATAATTATAACTGTATAAGGCTTTCGACATAAAACCCTGACTTGGAGTTTCTTGACAAACCTGCAAATTACTAAGCTGGGCCTCCAAAGATTCAAGCGCAAGTTGAATATTCAAGAGCTTCTCTGCTTCTTCATCATAATCCTCTTCTTCTTCTTCAGCCACTTTCTCATCAGGGTTTTTCTTAACTCCATTAACAACAACAGCAACATCACCTTCTTGTTGTTTCCCTGTTGTTGCTTTGTGAATGCAATTACTGATCTTCAACCTAAGCTCCGCCGCCCTGGCTAAAACTAAGCCTATACCCTCTTCATCCATTGTGTTTCTTGATGTTTGTGCTCGGTGGGTTAAGGCTTTTGACGCCGAAAATATAATAAAAATGTGTTCTTGGGTTAGTCGGCGAGGGTTTTGGAAGTGAACAGACTCTGAGAAGAGCCAAAAACTGGCAGGTGTATAATTCTGGTGAGTGTTTTAAGTGACTCTCATGCTTCCCACCAGATATTTTCATTTTGGTTTCACTTAATTAATTTTTTCTTTAAGTAAATTTAAGATTCTGTGGATCCCAAGATAATCTATGACTATCCAATGGGCAATGACTCTAGCTGTATGCATGTGACCAGGGGCTTTCTGGTCTTGTTATTTTTATTTTCTGTTTTGGGTATAAAATGAAGAAATTTCTGGACTTGGTTTCTAGTGGCCAGTGGGGACTCTGTTTCGGTCTTTGGGCATAAAGGGATGAAGTTTCGGACTTTGGCTTCTTTGTAGGGACTGCTTTTTGACATTGCATCTGCTGAATCTCTAAAAAGAGATAATGCATTAATAATCTTGGTCCACTCGATTACATACTTTTCATTTTGGTTTCACTTACTGTACCATTAGGAGGTCTAAAGCTTATATACTGATCCAAACTCTGCTAATATGGTGAAAAATATTACGTTTATAAGCCAATCTCGTAACTTTCTCTTATAATCTTACTGTGATAACAAATGTGCACTATCTCATTCCTTCTGAAGGAACAACATTTTTTCATAACGAATATTTGTTCCTTAATGAAGGAACAATCATTCTTTTAATAAGGTATCGAAGGAATGACCATACATTAAAGAATTTTTATAAGATATGATCATTCTTTAAGGAGGTATAGTCATTCCTTACGAAGGAATGACTATAGTTTCGTTAAGGAATGACCATTCCCTGGAATGGCAATACCATTCCGTAAGGAAGGAATGATCATTTCTTCAATAAGGAATAGTCGTTTCCTATAAAAGAATGGTCGTTTATTAAGTCTAATTAAAATCATTTTGTGTTTTGAGTATGGATGGAGCCAACGTGACAATGCCAACTTAGCTGCCACGTCAGGGTTGTGAGAGAAGTTTGTGAGAATAAGTTAACAATCATTCTCTATGAAGGAATGATTGTTTCTTAAGTCTAGTCAAAATCATTTTGTGCCTTGTGTAATGAATCCCATATCGAAAGCTTATTGGGGAGGTCTTGGGCTTATAAATGGGGGGAGTCCCTCCACCTAATAGGTTAGCCTTTTGGGTGTGAAACTCCCAACCCGTGACAAGTGGTATTAGAGCAAACCTGATCTCTCTTTCGATGTCCCGCCAAGCGCCCATGCAGGGGCATCCACGTGTGATTGTGGGTCCACACAAGAGTGAGGTGGACGGGTAGGCAGGGGTCCCACCTGTGATGAGGGCGTCACAGGATTGGGTGTGAGAGAATGTAACGAATCCCACATAAAAAACGTACCAGGAAGGTCCTGGGCTTATAAATAGGGGGAGTCCTTTCACTCAATAGGTTAGTCTTTTGGGTGTGAAACTCCCAGCCCGTGACACTTGGGTGTGGATGGAGCTGACGTGATAGTGCTAACTCAATTGTCACGTCGAGGTTGTAAGAAAAGTTTGTGAGAATAGGTTGTAAGCGTACCATTACTCTAATGTGATATGTTTTACTTATTTTTACACCATTTTAGGTAGGTAGAAGACGGTTTATGTGTTTTTTTTTTTTTTTTTTNTAAAAAAAAAAACAAACTTTTACCGTAAATCAACTTCTAACCGAAAAAAAAAAAAAAAAAGAATTACACAAAATTCTCATCCAAAAATTAAAACAAAACACACAAAAACATGACTGAAAACCTAATTTAATTGCCAAAAAAAAAACCCACCTTCGTGGAGGAACCCTTGGGTGGGGCCCACTGCACGTCAGCCTCATCATTCTCGATGATGTCGGGCGAGTCAAGATCCGACTCAGAGTGATCCGAGTCATAGTAATCCTCGTCTCCACTCATAAAATCGTCCATCGATCAAAATTTCCCCAAATTAAAAAAAAAAAAAAAACCAAACAAAAATAATTCAATTTCGCTGCGAAAAAATACTCTGTATCCACAAATTGAAGAACCTAGTAGGCCGATCGGAAGAAAGAGACGGAGAGAGCAAAACTCCGACAGCTCTATCGCCGGCGACACGAGTGAAAACACTGCTGCTTACAGAGGAAGCTTGTGAGGCGAAAGAGAGAGAGAGAGAGAGAAGTGGAATGCTTGTTTTTATTTTAGTTTTTATTTTTATAATTTTTGTGACAGGTTCATTTGTGTTGGAACGATGTCGTTTTCAGGAGCAGAGAGAGAAGGGAGACGGCGTCGTATACGGATGACGTGTAGTGCTTTATTTGTGTGTGGATGGAGTGAGGAGTCCTAGTGGGATCATGACTTGTTCAAGCTTAACCAACTCATTTTGATGGATAAAGTTGAAAATAAATAATATTTATTTTTCATAAATTCAAAAAAAAAAAAAATTATTTATGAGATGACCATAGAAATAGGTTTTGATTTTATCATGATAACATTTTTATTGGTTTTTCATTTAAAATTAAATTTATATATATATATAAACCTCAATAAAATAATAGGTTTTAGATCATGAAAATTTATTAATTAATTAATATATTATTTAATAGTATAAATTAACCGATTATTAATTTATCGAGGCATTTTGCATTTTATTTTTTCAAAACATTGAGTTTAATGCATATACATATTATGTATAGTTAATGTGGTACAAGAAATATCTGTTGAAAATAACTCACAGTTAACCGACCCTTAAGTGTCCGAGTGATTTGATAAGAACTCTTAGGTATATTACTCGAGAGGTTCTTAGTTCAAGTCTCTCTTCGGTTGCTAATAGGGATGATCACGGAAGCTCTTGCTCAACCATAGTTTCAGGATTTCAGGGAATTACTTGAGATGCGCTTAAGTTAGCCTGAACACCCCGATCAAAAATAAATAAATAAAGCTCAAAGGCCTCTTAATTGAATTACGTATATATATAATTTTGATGTATAAAGAAATTATTAATTTATAATTTTATAGGTATATCAAACCCATGTGTGTTTTTTTTAAATGTATTATCCTATAAATTTAACGAATTATTAAGGCTGTGTTTGTTTTAATATTTCTAACCTATCCTATTTTATCGTACCCAAAAATTCATATTTATTTCCTATTATGAAAATCTAATTTTATTCTATTCAACTATTTTAAACCCTCTAAGTTTTGTTAATTTAATTAAACACCCTCAATAAAAAAAAAATATAAATTGACAAAAACACCTCATCCATCCACATATTCCCAAAAGCCGGTGGCCAACATTTAATGGGTGAGTGTGGGTATTTTTGTTAATTTTAAAACTTTTACTATAAGGGTGTTCCACTAAATTAACAAATATAAAAGATTAAAAAATAATCTTACCAAATACATTTTCAAGTTCAAATCCTCTCCTCCTAATAATAACCCAACTCAACTTTTTCAAAAATACTACTCAAAATAATAAAACAAACACACCCTAATTTTACCACATTGACCCAAATCAAGACCGGCAAAAATATCATTTAATCGATTTTATTATATATATATATATATAATTAATTTGTGATGGGTTGATTAAAGAACTACAAGAAGCCATTACAGTCATATCTAACAATCCAATTGCATTTGAAATAACATTTGCTTTGGTGATTGAAGGTTATACTGTTTGAGTTACATTAGAAATGCAATGAAATCAAGATTACACAGGAAGCAAAAATGGCATTTCAATCACATTCTAAGAATCCATTTCATCAAATGTTGATTCGAAATATATAGTCCTCGCTCTCTAGTTCTTCATGAGGCAGATTAATCGCCGGCGTTTCGCGTTTCTCGCAAGATTCTTCACAATATGATGATCTCTTTCCCTGTAAAATGTGAGAATGGATTCTTATATGCCACAAAAAACAATTAAAACTTGAGCAGTTTCTGCACTAACCTTCCTCAAGATATAGAAAAAATAGTGAAATCCATCACCAAAAGTGCTATACTCAAATGACCACGTAAATTTTGGAGCGTTAAACAAAGGACGCCTGAAGTGAGGCTGCATGAGATACCAGTTTCAAGTAAAAATTGTATTCCTAGTGCAAAGGATGTACGTACAACCAATCAATCATGAAATGAATGCATGTCACACACGCTAAAGTGGCACCTGTAGAATATTTTTTTTCCGTAGCACAGCTATTAAAAGACGAAGGATTAAATTTTACTTGGGATACCTGGCCAAAAGAAATGGAGATGAAAATCCCATCTGGTTTCAGAACTCTATGAACACCTTCAAGCATAGCCATGACCTTGGTCACTGTTTCGGGTCGCGGATTCCATGGATCGCCACTGTTCACAAACAATACTT